TTTTTTCCCTTTATGGTATGTTCTAGCCTTGGCTGCGATATCTTCATAATTTCAGTAGTTGGTTTAGTACATGAATATTTAGCAACAGAATCTGCTGTTTCATTTCTTGCTCTGTGACTGTAGACTTTAACCCATTCTATTTTGAAATTTATGTGATGATTGGCATGACTTAGATTCAGGATGCTTTGTACTATAGGGTTTTTAAAATATTTTGAAGTTCTTCTAAGGATCTAACTTTACTAAAATTGTTTCATATTGTTTGTTTATTGTAATATATTGCTTTCATTGTGGCTATGAGTTCAGATTTGAAAACATGGTTGTTTTATTCCAGTTTTCCTACCCTATTTCTGATACATTGCTGTTGATCTTTAAAGATAATGTAACATCCACATTTTGTTCCATTTTTTAACCATCTGTATATTGGATAAGTATTTTTTGTTTATTTATTATATTTTACTGAAATAATTACGTTAGGGTCTAATGCACGGTGTCTTCCATATAGCAGTTCTGGGATTTCATGCTTATTTGGGGATATTGTGTGATTATAGTACTGAATGGGTTTCAGAGCTGGAAAACTAGATTTTTTTGCTGCTTTAGAGCTTTTGGTTGATCTTTGAATTATGGTAACTTGGCGATTTTTTGGTTTTTGTGAAAATTTGGCGACAACCTGCTACCAGCAATCTGCTATGTTTTTGGTTGGACGCTTTTGTTTTAACAAAGTCAAGGCATGTTTTTTTTTTTTTTTTTTTTTTAAATCACATCTTTTTCAAAATTCTGCTAGCCGAATTACGCTTATTGCTAGAATGTTATGGAACAAAGTGCTAATTCATGACGAAGATTAGGTGTGAAATTGGAAAAAGTGCAGAATCATAAACTGTGCCGCGTTTAAGAATTGCACATTACACGGTATCATGTACACGTCAACTATTTTCACTTAAAAAAAAATCCAGATTGCACAAAAATGCAGTGCGCACACTCTAACTTATCCATGTACATGCTAAAGTCCGAGCTAGTACCTTGTTAGCGCCTTACCAAAATGTTACAAACGACCTTTCCATATCAAAGATTAGCCATGTTTCTTTTCTTTTATTACTGACACTTTTTCCAACAATTACTACCTGAATACACTTATGCTTAGAAATTGTATGTACAAAATTGTTAATCGTGACAATTTAACTGCAAAATTGGAAAAAAGTGCACAATCGCAAACTCCTTGCGCGTTTTCAGAATAGCACGTACACATAAACCATTTAAACGTCGACTTATTTTTACTAAAAAAAAATTCAGATTGCACACACTCTTAACTTTATCCATCTACTGCTATTTTCTCATAAATTACAAAATTGCACGAAAATGAAAAAAATTCTGTGAATCTTTAAACTTGGTGAAAAGCACATAATGAATTACCTGATCGCGAAAAATCTACCCTTTCAAGGATGAACATTTCCACATATAAAATAAATAAAATATCAAAAACTTTACCTCTAAAGTATCTGTTATATATAAACGTCACCAACGAATTTACGCAAACATTACAATGGTATAAATATTAGTGTCAAATATTAAATTATTCCATACACGTTTATTCAACTGAAAGTATACCAAATCCTACAAACATAAAATCACAAATAACTATCATTAATAAAATATCCACTAAACCATGACACTCGACTTATTTTTACTTAAAAAACAATCAGAATTGCACAAAATGCATTGGCACTCTTCACTATATCATGTACACTGCTTTTCTCATAAATTAGAAAAATTCACAAAATGCATGAAAATACTCAACGTATTCTATCAAACGTATTCCAAATACTAAACATATATCTCACAAAATCACCTCCTATTAAAATATAATTAAATAAAAAGCTACTTAAAATATAAATAAGCACATACATTAAATTAATAAAAAAAGATTAATCTAATTTACTTTAAACTAAATCATTGCTAATAACATTTTCCAATAATATCATATTAATTTATTACTCCTTACATTAGAACAATGCCAAAAATAATATCCTCAAAATGATTAAAAATACTAACTTACCTAATCTTCAGAATTCATTACGTGGCACGCACACGTCACTATTCACACAACACACAGTGAAGCTTATACAAAATAATTAGTACTACAGTTTTCCAAATTCCCCCCTTTCGATTAAAGAACTGTAACTCTCCATTTAATGTCAATGACATTCTCATGATCTCTCATTTCCTCACAAAAATAATGCCTAATCGGAACTGAGTACTTCTCACATTATTACCAAAGTCCTAGGTAGTAACCTTTATCGCCTCCAAAATGTCACCAAACTACCAGTTACCATATTCCAAAGATCAGCCGAGCTTTTATATTTAGTGAAGTTCCTGCTTAAAGGTTGGTTAGAAGTTGTTCTGTATGCTTTTGTGATTTCCAAAAGAAAACACATTTGGATGGTAAATAGAATTTTTTTCTTTCTTTCCATTTTCATATCCATATTGCTGCCCCATAGTTAACAGCAATTAATGTTTTACAGAAAATCTTTTGAATATGTAGTTTCAATTCCCAGCTTTGGCCTTGCATCCTTCTGAAATTTGATGCTATTTTAGAAGTTTTTAGTTTTCATAGATGTATTGCCATGTCAAATTTATTGTCTAAGGCAGTGAATCTCAACTTTTTTTTTGTCGTGGCAGACTTTTAACGATATCAAAATTTGGCAGCACACAGAGAAAACAATAAGTTTAAAAGTTGTTTACTTATTACTGTGTAAAATAGTTTATGATAATAAATTTGAATGTAAAATAAAATATGCACCACAAAAAACAGCAGTACGTTTATTAAGGGATTAATTACAAGTTAACAATAAGAATACTTTCATTGAGAAATTTGAGGGTGATGTTTTTTATAATTTCATTTATATTCAGTTGTAAAAATGACAATGCTACTCTCATATTGTCGTCTGCATTTAATAGACCCTTTCTTTTTTTTGTTTTTATTTTATTTAATATTGAAAATACGAATTCACACAAATAAGATGTAGAAAACTGTAATAATATTTTTAAAGCTTTTTTGGCCATCCATGGGATAATCGCATTTAATGTTAATTCAAAATGAATTAATTGATTCTTCTGACTATTTTTAAATTAAATCTCAATTATTAGAGAGTGAAATTAGTTCTTTCTCTTCGTTCAAAGTTAATTCAAATACAGAAGTCTTCGGCACCAAAACCGGCTTGGATACCACAATTGGCGCACATATTAATGTCTTAAAAACCGAATTTTGCCAATTTTCATGTGAACCATATACTAGGATTAAAAACCTATTATAATTTTTACTATATACATTTCTAAAATTTGGCGACACACTTTAAGAATTTGACGGCACACAAAAGTGCCACAGCACAGTGATTGAGAATCACTGGTCTAAGGTAAGGCCTAGAAATTTGACCTATTTGGTTAATTTTATTCTTGGCTTTTTTAGGCTGAATTAAGTTGTCTATTAAACTGTTGTCATGGCCTATGGATGATTATCACTTTGGATAATTCTTGCAAGATTTTGTTTTTAGCATCTTGTATGGAAAACTTCAAGGGTTTCATTAACATTTTGCCGTAAAAATTCTGTGAAGTGTCTACTAATTACCAACGCTGTGTTATCTGCATAAGCATGAATTTTTGTTTATAAGGCAGTGCAGGATTTACGTATAAGCTGCACAAGCTTATAGCTTAGGGCCCCCCCTTTCTTGGCCTCCCCCCAAAAAATTAAAATATAGTATAACAGATATATAAAGGGCCCCATATCTCAGATTACTTAGGGCCTTATCAAGTTTAAATCCGGCACTTGTGTGAAGGCCGGATTTAGACTTGATAAGGCCCTAAGGTGCTTTTGTGATTTCATGAAATGTCATTGCCTAGAAATGTAAACTGAGGCTTCATTGCCTAGAAATGTAAACTGAGGCATGACTCTTATGGACAGCCTGTTGATTTTATTATTTCTACAGTTTTATTATTTTGAATTGTGATGCTTTTCATTCTTTAAAGTAATCTTTGATCAGCCAACATAAAATTTTGGGGCAGTCAGCTTTTGCTATTGCGTTTATAATTGCTAGCTGCTATGGGTCAAAAACTAATGAGTCAAAAACTCATGCTTTTTTTCTATATTATTACTATGGACTTACTTGAGTGTGGGATTTATTATGTTGATTAGGACTCTTTCAAGGATTTCCATAGTTATCTGATATTTTTTCATAAATAAATAAATACAGTTTAGCCTTACACAACAAATCCACAACTATTTTCAAAATTTATTTTATGATTAAAAAAGTTAGATTTGGGAGACTCCTGCATTGACAAAAATAACTAAATAAGGTTGAAGCATTTGGAATACTTTACAAACTTTACTAAAGCAGCTTCAAAATTCTCATTGTCTGGGGAAGTTGTTGCACTTTTTATTGATTCTTCCTTAAAGGTCATCTTTGGGGGGAAGAACCGTATTGTTTCTTATGGATTTTAACAAGAGAAGAACACTGAGAAGTAAGTGACAAAGCATTAAAATGTCTGTTATCATTTATGAGCATTTAACTAGAAAGAGCATTTTCATCTTGCACATATATTTAAATAATTAACAGAATGAGAGCTGCTTCTAATTTACGACTTTACCTCTCTAAATTTGATACCAATATAAAAAAATGAACTCTACAAGGCATAACATTACTAATGAAGATTGAATAATTCAAGACTACCATACTAAGTTTGTTGTTTAATGTTTTTATTGATTTTTAGTTATACTAATTTTTCAATAATGATAATCAATACATTTATTTTCTCGTTTCCTTTTGTGAAAGCTAGTATTTGGAATAAGTACAGTATATCAATAATCTATAGTTTTGGTTTAAAAATACATATGTGTTAGAATTTTGCTTATTTGAAATAAATAACATAGTAAGTAATCCTTATTTGATTGTATTTTTCTGGCCTTATTCATTGCAGTCTTAATTCTATGGTATTAAAATAAATTATTCCAGGCAGTAATAAAAATGTCAGACAATGAAAATCAGCTGAAAACATGTTCTGTAAGAATAGAAAAAATGCCCGTGGAAGATGCAGATGCAGATACAGATAGTAGCAGCTTTGATGATGACATTCCCTTCAAGCCAAATATTTCAAATTGTGACTTGAGTCCTCATGCCTCAAAGGTAAAACTATCATCTCAAAATTTGTACAGTCAAAAGTCTTTAATCCGGATTCGTCAGGACTTCGGCGATTCCGGATTATCAATTTTTCCGGATTATAGATCATCAGTTTAAATCTGGTAAGATGGCATGCAGAATTATAAATAAAAATATGAAACTGTAATTTAAAATAATGAGCAATTATGATCTAAAGGCTATCAAAATTTACAAAAAGAAAGCTTAATATTTATTTGTTTACTTTATTAAACATTTCTTTCAACCCGCTCGCATGCGTAAAGCCATACATTTCGCATAGCCGAAATTAGAAATTGCAAACCAGAACAACATTTGATATTCGGGATATTTATAATGACGAAGAATTGATTTAAATCATATAAAGATGGAGTCAATCGAGATGAAATACATTTAGTAAAGAATTATAAGCCGAATAAAATAAAAACATCTGCCTGAAGATAACGATAGTGCTGACAGATCAACTTCCAGTTCTTGTGCGCCGCGACGTTCCCCCTCCCCCACGCAGAGCAGATGAAATGAAACAGATTTCGGAACGGTAGATAAAAAGGATATGCCTTATTACCATTTTTTGCAGCACTTTTTGTTTGATGGACTCGAACATACTTTCGTTTTGTAGATCCTTCTTTTGAGCTCCAACAATCGGAAATTTCTATTTGACATATCGAAAGTTCAAGCTTACTTTTATAAAATTGCTCTCACAGTCTGCAAAAATAATAAGCCGGATCCCAATTGAAGATTAAGGAACAACGCAATCATTAACATTAACTGAATTAGATAATTTTAGCTCAGCTTATACCGTTCGTTATACATTAAACATGCATGCGTAAACGTTTTATGTGCATGCGCACAGCCGTAAAGGTCTTAGGCGCACACGTAAACGCCTATGCGAATGCGTCAACGCGACGCATGCGCAGGAAGTTTGTAGCTTTGAGGTCTGGATTATGGGTGTCCGAATTAACGACTTTTGACTGTAGTATGCATGCATAAGTACTTTATATGTATGCATGTATAAATACTGGTTATTATGTATTTTCATGTATGAGAGAAGAAATATTAGCAAAATATGTGTGTGTGTATGTATATGCATGCATACGAGTTCAAAATAATTTGCAAATGCCGTCATAAAAATTATATAGATTCAATATTTGAAAAATATTTTTTAATTTATTCAGTCCTAATATATATTGAGCAAATTTGTTATTATTGGATGAGAATTGAAATTTTCCAGCAGTTCTGGGAAATCTTTTTCTGTTTGCTAATTCAAATTCTAGGTGAATCCCATCATCCTTCATTTGACAATTAGCATCTTTATCACTGTCTCATAAATAGTGTCATCTTCAGTTCTGTTTGTAGCATTGTTCAGCAGAAGTTTTCCTCTGTAGCATTTTTGCAAAACAACTAAGAATCTAGCTGAAGTTCACCTTGCTCTGGCCAAAGCACCAAATGATGCTCATGCCTTATAGTTGGAAGATTTGGAAAAGAGAAACTGTTAGTGGCAGTAGTGCCATTTCATTTTTGATGCCTTTTTGCCTTGAAAATGCTGGTTAGACATTTTCTTGAAATTAATATGGGAAAATTGAAAGATTTAACAGTAGACATTGATTTGAGTTATATTAATCTATATCAAGGGAAAAAATGATAGATTTAACAGTAGACAGTGATTTGAGTTACATTAATCTATATCAAATAATATACATTAGACTACTAAGCGTTTGAGTTATTTTAAATAAATCCATTATTTATTAAACAGATACTTGATCTGTGCAAAATATACTTGATTTGTACACAGGGCTGTGGAGTTGGTAGGGAAAATGACCGACTCCGACTCCTGGAATTTTAAAGACTCTGACTCCCTCATTTATATATATATATATACGTTGGTAAGTTGAAAAATAAGTTTCCCCTGTCGACTGTGGTCAGAGTTGTGTATGAAAGTCAAAAAATAGAATGAGACATTAAAGATATGACATACCTTTATTTTATTATTCTCGTACGAGTATGTTGAGACATTTGTCATATCGCTTAATAAGCTTCAAAAAGTCCTCCAAGAAAAATTCATGCTTTGCATATGGAAGAGGCGTTGAACGGCTATGGGCGAAAGGCGAGACAGCAGGAAAACGCCAAGTCAACCGATACACACATTGGGTAGAGGTCGCTGCAAATCAAGGAGATGGCACTGTTGCAGTGCCTGCGCAAAGCGGAGACCAGCCTCTCATTTGAGCCCTGGTAGGTATGGAGAGAAGGTGCGTTTTGAATTCGTGGTCAAAGGAGGAAGTGAGAGCGGTTATCCGCTATGAGTGGGCACGTGGAGTATCAGGAACAGAAATTCATAACCGCCTCATGGAAGTCTATGGGCCAGGTGTGATGTCGAAGCAAATGGTGCGGAGATGGTGTCGCACATTCAGTGATGGACATCAGCAAGTGGAGGACATACCGAAAGCTGGACAGACACGCACGGCCACTACAGATGCAAATGTCAGGAAGGTGGATGACATGATTAGAGCGAACTGGCGTATCACCATCGATGAAGTAGTGGAAGAACTTGGAATCTCACATGAGCGAGCTCAAAACATCATCCACGACATTCTTTGATACAGAAAAGTGTCAGCACGATGGGTGCCCGGACAATTGACCTCGACACACAAGGAACAACGCATGGGGGTCAGCCTGGAACATCTCGTGCATTACCATGAAGATGGCAATGACTTTCTGTTTCGGATTGTGACAGGGGATGAAACGTGGGTCCACCATTTCACGCCAGACTCGAAGGCTGCATCTATGGAGTGGAAACATCCGTCATCACCTGTCCGAAAGTAGTTCAAGACAACTCCCTCTGCAGGTAAAGTGCTCCTCACAGTTTTCTGGGATGCCCAAGGAGTTTTGTTGCTGGACATTTTGGAGGTTGGAACCATCAATGCTATGCGCTACTGTGACACCCTGTCGAAATTGAAAGAGGCGATTCGGAAAAAGCGTCCTGGCCTTCTCACATCTGGCGTTCTGCTGTTGGATGACAATGCCAGACCACATGTGGCGACGGCAACGCAAAACCATATTGCAACTCTTTGTTGGGAGCACCTATACCATCCGCCATACAGTTCTGATCTCGCACCAAGCAACTTCCATCTGTTTCTGGCTTTGAAGAAAAATCTCGGGGAAAGGCGCTTTGGAAGCAATACTGAAGTGAAACAAGCCGTTCAAGGCTTCTTCCATATGCAAAGCCCTGATTTTTTCCTGGAGGGCTTTTTGAAGCTTATCAAGCGATATGACAAATGTCTCAATGTACTTGGTACCTATGTGGAAATAAAGGCATGTCATATCTTTAATGTCTCATTCTATTTTTTGACTTTCATACATAACACAGTCGACAGGGGAAACTTATTTTTCAACTTACCCTCGTATATATATATAAACATATACACATGGGTTACAGCTTATTTTTTTAACATAAAAGAAGTAATAGATGCTACAAAAAAAATGATGGCATAGCAAATTATTTATATGAATTATCATTTATTATGAAATGAAAAAACTGGTATTAGTTATTTGGCAAGATCTTCTTTGTTGGAGGGCCATAGATCTGATTTGATAAACTTCAGAGTTGAGAACTTTCCAGACTAACTTGAGTAGGAGGAAGAGGTGTTACTGTTTGGGCTACTTCTTTTAACTTTTCAGGATAGATTTTTATAAGTTCTAAAAGAGGTGTCTTGCAAGCACAATCATATTTCTTCAAAGGCCATATAGAAATCTTGTATGCATTTTTTTCATTTTTATATCTAAAGGCTCTTGGTTCTTTATTTTCATTCGCTTTGCCGTAGCCTTTTCAATATTATCCAAAAGTATTTCTCAAAATGTAATTCATCACTGGAAGAATATGATAGAGACTCAGTTGCAGTGTTGTCCTGATTCGAATTCTCCAAATGTTCTGAGAATAATTTCATTCTTAATGAAAGTTCATAGATGGCTTTCTTTGCCTTTTTAATTTGTTCATAATCCAAAAAATTCTGGTGTTTCGAATCTACATATATTGTACCCAGCAAGATCTCATTGTCTAGTAAACTAGTTTCTCTTTTCTTCATGGAAGAAATGATTTTTTCTGCAATAAATCCTCCATTTCAGTAAGAACAAACATCCCATTCCTTCATTTTGGCATCCTGCCAATTCTTTAGATTGCAGCTTTTTTGTGATTACATACAATGTGGAAAGAAGAGTTTCCAGTTCTGCAAGATCATTCCACAGTCTTTCTGTTAGTGAAACATTATTGTTATCTACATCTTCTAAAAAAAGTTCTTAATTCTAAAAACCTCTTTACCATTAATACACAATAACATGCCGAATAAATACTAATTCAGAAGTCAAAGAACAAAAATCAGCGTTATATTTTCAAAATATTCACAGGACTAGTTTCGATGGTTTTACCGAACCACCATCCTCATTTGCAAAACCGCAAAGGACTAGTTTCAATGGTTTTACCGAACCACCATTCTCAGCTGCAAAACCGCATGATTTGCAGTTTTGCAACTGAGGATGGTGGTTCGGTAAAACCATCGAAACTAGTCCTGTGAATATTTTGAAAATATAATGCTGATTTTTGTTGTTTGACTTCTGAATTAGTAACCTCTTTATCATCAAATATGTACTTCCTTATCACATTGCTTGATCAATAATTGCTCCTTTTCCTGCTCGCTTCCTAAGAATGGCATCAATTTTGGGAGTTCTTACTGCTATTGCTGCTTACCTAAATTTAACAGTTAGATTTGTAACTAAATGAGTCAGTTTAATTACTAATAGCAAATATTACATTCATCCTCCTCCCTTATATTTATTTATTAATATGTCAATAAAATAGAAAATAACTATTTATTAATGTATATAGTCCATTAATAAAAATAATAGCTCAGCTTGTCATTAATTTTTTCAATTAATTTTTAATATCATTTCAAATTTAAACTGTCCAACAAAAACTCGAGTTGGAGTCAGAGTCGACCTATTTTTAGCGACTCCTTTTACCCCAAAATCTGCCCAACTCCATGACTTTGACTCCACAGCCCTGTTTGTACATATACTTGATCTGTACATTTACAGAAATCAGAGATTATAATTTTAAAAAAATATCAGTTCTTAACCCATGAGATTGTTCTGATTTTTTTGTTAAAATTTTCGCTGTACATGAGGTTATGTATATGGTAAACCCATGAGCATGTGCATGTACAATCAGAACCAATTCAGTTGTTCAATCTGTATAATCAGAACCAATTCAATCTGTTGGTTTGATTTTTTTTCTTAAAAATTTTCGCCTTATTTGTGGGTATGTATATGGTAACTGTTATCTTTAAGTTCTTTATGTACAGTTATTTCTAATATTAATATGTTGTACGCTCTATATTGTAGAGGAAATATAAGGGAGTTGATAAAGAAAACCATTCTTTTGAAATGGGTTGATGCAAGAAAAAGGTTGGGAGTCTCTCATCTGCAGTGTAACATTAGGAAGATTCATATTAAAATTAAATGAGAAAAGTTAAATTGTGTACATATACTATAACATGTATAAATATAATAAATTAATAATATCCTGGTTAAAATATTGGTGATATTTATAATGTTGTCCAGAATCTTTTATAGTGTTTCAGAAATTTGAACTGTGATCACAAATATTCCTCAGTAATCTTACGTGATACAGTATCTTGTACAATGGATTAAATCCTAGACTGGATTGCATTCATTATGCAAAGCACTACTGTACATTAGTATTAATAAATTTGCCATCTAAAATATCAATTACTAATAGCAGCTTCACAGTAAAGGTTTTGATTTCTTTAATATATTATATATATGTGCCTAAATAGAAATATGTAAACGAATGAGTTTTTTAAAAAAATTCTCTTTTTTTTATTTATAATTGTTGAAAATTTGATAAAACTGAACACCTGTTAGTTTTTTTATAGTGGTTTTTTTTTTTTTTTTTTTTTTTTTTTTTTTTTTTTTTTTATAAATGTTGTTTTGTCATTAAGTAAATTTCCAAATTCTTTCAATTATTACCAACTCTTAGTTGCTTTTGGTATACATAATTACATAATTCATTTAAGTACTACATAATTAAATTAAGTCGTTTCTTTCTTTTCAGTCTGTTGATGAATTACTATCAGATAGTATAAATCTAGTCAAGACTATACACCATGCTCGTAGACAAGAAAATTTAAGGACACACGTTTTAGATTCTGACCAACCAGCAGCCAGTAATGATGATTCTGCCATGGATGCTATAAAACTGTATCTGCCAAGAGAAGAGGAATTTTTCCCCCCTGAAAGGACATTTATTAAAATATATTGTGAAAAGTCATTTTTAGTATTTTATAATATAGATGATGTTTCACCTATCAAATGTGGATATAATCCACAATCCCCTGAGCTTACAGCATTCGAAAAACTTTTGGTGTCACTGAAGCCTGTTGAATTTGAATATATGCTGTCATTTTCTTTATCATTTTATCCTACTGATCATGTAATGGATTGCAAATCATTCATTTCTTACCTTTTGAGAATGATTTCTGTTATTGACGATAAAGACAGTATTGATGCATGTGATTATGCTATTCAAACTCTGTTGACAGAACACCCATCTGTGCACAATGTATCATTTAGTGCATCTGAGTTGTTTATGTTGCTGTTTAACTATGGTAAGAAGCTTTATTATTTATTTTCTTATGCTGTTTTAAAAATCTAATGCTGTTCATGAACTCACTTTTTTGATTTTATATATATATATATATATATAAAAGAGGGAGATTTTAATAGTAACATTCATGCATTAATTACTTCAAGAATTAAAAACATTTTTTTCTTTTGTATGTTACTAAATGAAGTTTCTGATGTTATTGTTTTTGAGTTGTATTTTTTTTTTTTTTTTTTTTTTTTCTTTTTTCCTATTATGTTCATAGAAAGCAAGCCAGTTTTAAGCTTTAAAAAGGTAGCTCAAAATTATAACATTTTATCTACATTTCTTTAGAATCTGTAATCAATTTGTAAGCATGAAACTGATTTGATTTCTAATTTTAATGGTAAATTATTAGGGAAAGTACTTTGACATGTATTTATTGTAATAGTATAAAAAATATTTACTTACATATAATCAAATACCCGCTATCTTACAAATAAAATAGTTATAAATGATTTACATCATCCTTTTTCCAGCACCTGCATGTTTTCCTATGATGTAGTTCTTAAATGAGACTCTTCATCCTAAATTAGGTTTCGGTTTTCGATTGACAGAATAAAAATTTTCTAGGTATTATTTTAATATGAAATATTGTTATCTAATCCACATAAGCTTAAGAGATAGCATGTGACTATCTTAGCAAGGTAATTACAAAGATACAGTATATGAAAAACAATTATTTATATCTGTGCTGTCATGCTGATCCAGTGATACCTTGTATTCTTTATTATTTATTTTATCCATCTTTTTTAAATGTTCTGAGCATTTTTATAAGAAAAGACGACAAAAAAAAAAAAAAAAAAAAGGGGGGGGGAGGGCATTTGAGATGCAAATAAAACTATATGCAAAAGCTGAATAGTTGATATTTTATACATGTCATTTCCAAACATTTCATTTACTCCCTCAGTTATGTGTTATCAAACCAATTGCATTCATGTATGCATTTTGTGAAAATCTTGGAAACTCCTTGCCAGCACATTGTAGATGTTTGAAAGGCATGTAAATCATCTATAAACTACACAGTGATATAAAATTTTCATTGCTTTTCCTTGCATTAAGGACATTTTGATGGTTACCATATGCTTTGCTATAATTAGTAAACCTAACCTAGATTCTGATACCTCCAAAGGGGATGGTTGGTTGCAGAGAATATTTTTCTTTTGTAATGGGAATACGAGTGTGTTTCTCTTAATAAGTACTCCCTGAAGGCAATTTCTTAAGACAGATATTTGATACAGCCATATTTTGTCATAATCAGGTAGGGATTTTACTCTTAGTTTATAATATTGGTAATATTCAGATCATTTTAAGGAACTTGCTTCAGCATTGGAGAGGTGTATTTTTTTTTTTTTTTCAGTCTTTTACACTTCAGATTGACATTTTATGATGCTTTCTCAAAATGTTCCGCTTTCTTTTCTTCTTCAGTTGCACTACAGCCTATCAGAGGCCAAGTCAGTCTCAAATAGCTTCTTCCAATGGATCCATTTAGTCCCTAAAGTCCTCCAGCGATTGATTTTTAGAGTCCTGAGGTCTGCTTTCACACAATCTATTAGTAGTAATATTTTATTATTTAACAAATAACTATATTTATCATTGGAATGGCAATGCCATATTTGTATCATGTAACCATTACTCAGCAACATAAGACATTGTTAAAAATTGTTATTCTGAAAGTTTTACCAGCTTGTAGATGTAGGAAAAATTTGAACTAAAAGATTGTATTCAAATTATCTATCTCCGTAAACTAAAAGTAAAATTTATATTTTACTAAGATGATCATCCGTTTTTTTGTTAAATACTGCAAAATACATTACACCATCTTGTGCTAAGTCTTCCTCTTTTTCCTGATACCATCCACATCACCAAAGGTCACCTTTTTAACTGAGTTCGAGCTTTTGTATCTAAAAATATGTCCAAGCCACTTGATATCATCCATGATTTAGCCCTAAAGATTTCTGAACCGGAATTTTTTTACAGGGTGGGGTAGTTAGCTCCATGCCCAACCCCCACCCTGGAGGACCAGTCCTCTGTTATAATTCCCAGGGGCAGGGTGCCTGACTATAACCCCGAATGCTGGGTACTCATTTTAGTCGCCTGTTACAACGTGCATGAGCTACATTAAGACTATTCTTTCACACCCAGTCACCACATGGGTGCTGCTTTCTCTCCAAAATGATTAGTAATATGTTGGAAAGGATGTGATATTTTTGTGCTAAATATTTTTTTAAGATTTATTTTGATATCCTTGATTAAATCCATTTTAATTAAAAATTCAGAGTGTTGTTTTTCCACTTAAAATTCAGACACTTGAAGCCTGATGGTAAGCCATATTAATGAGAAGCTCAGAGTTCATTTCCTCCAAAAAGATGGAAGGAACGTGGAATCTGAAGAATGTGAAGAACTTCTATGAAAACAGCAGATAGCCTAACATTGGTTGAGAATAGATACTCCAGCTGCTTGCTCTTTTCCTGAAACAGTTCTTCAAACATAACATGATTCTAGAGCAGTTAGTGTGGTTCTCAGAAAAGTTTTCTGAAAGCTTCAGTTTTTATCTTTTATTATAATTTAATTGGAATTATAATAATAATTCAGAATGATTTAGACCTCCATAAAATATTTGATTACTAAGTAGTAAGATTTATGTATTTAAGATCCATTTTTCATAAGGCATTTTCAGTACAGTTTAAAAGTTTAGATTCTTTTAAACTGTCCTTCAAGTTGAGAGGGACTAAGTCAAATTTTTCTTTTTTTTTAGATTTGTTCATCCAGATCTATAAGTTAGTTACATGCTGCAGTGAAAAGAAAATCAATTTTGCTATGCTATTTAATTTAGTATTACAGAGCAGATTTTTCTGATGGCTTAGACTCAATTTTATAAATTAATATTTTTAATTGATTCAATTTTGTTTTGGATTTTTTTCAGAATAAATATGTGTATTTTTTATTTTATTATTGTTATGAACTGAAATTCAGGTAAAAAAAATTGCCCAAATTTTCAGATATGAAAACGAATCTCATAAACAAGTGCATAAAAATGCATAGGTCATATTGTATGTTTCTGTAGTAAAATCCCTCATCACTAAGTTAATGTTACAACCAATGCTTGGTGCTGTAATTACTTATATTAAAAATACAATTGAACACAAAATTGTACTTCTGTCCATACTTTAGTGCTTGAAATTTGCAAATTCAGTGATTGACAATGTAGTGTGCAATGGACACATGTTGGAATTCCAGTCTGCATTGTTGTTTAATGTGAATATGATTTCTGAGCATGATCAATATTCAGTACTTATGAGTCAAAGGCATCATTAAAGACAAGGTCAAAAGTGTAAATAATTGGTAGAATCAAGGGAGGTCAAACACAGATGGAAGTGGCTCAAAATTTGAATGTTCGTCAAAGTGATCAAGAGTTTGGAGTCAAATCAAGAATTTGGAGCTGCTTTTTAAGCACTGGATAAATTAATAGACAGCCTGGTCAATAGCAACAACTGCATCAGAATACCGTTTTCTATGTTTTTTTGACTCAGAAGAAACCGCAAAATGACTACAAGTAGGTTTGGTTTTAGACCGTCACAGGAACTCAAATTAGTTGTTCTACTGCTGCATGAAAGCTTAACAAGATGGACTATATGAAAGAAAAACAGTGGTTTGTATCTCACTCCAACTTCCAAAGAGGCTTGTTTAAACTGGTGCCATCATCATATTCAATGGAGCCAAGGCGACTAGGCCTAAGAGTTGTTTGCTGATGAGTCTAGATATAGTCTCCACAGTGATTCTAGACTTGCTTTAATCTGGAGAGAGGAAGGAACATGCAACTTACATTTCTTTGTCCATGAAATATCCATCCTAAACAGGATGGATATTTCTCCCCAAACCATTAAACAATGGTTTGGAGAGAAATAACAAATAGACATACTGTGCTGCATATCTTTCAAGGAGGTTCTGTTACCTTTCAGAGATATGCGGATGAGGAATTGAAACCCCGAATTAGACTGTTCAGGGGTACTGCTGCTAATGGCTAATGGATAACCATGGCCTCATCGAGCATATATGCGATGTCAGAATACTTGTAAACAGAGGATGTCACTCGAATGAACTGGCCACATTACTCACTTAACTTGAACCCGAGTGAGCATGTGTGGGGTGCCTTAGAATGCCAAATTTCAGCATCCTCAGTTCCTCCTTAGACCCTCGAGTAGTTGAAAAGTGCACGTTTAGAAGAGTGGTGTGTAGTTTTGCAAGACTTGATCAACAGTGGTTTAGGAAATCAAGATGGGAGGTATGCATATCTGTCCGATGTGACCATATACCATATTAAACAAAAATTTCTTCCACAAGAGGTGACTTAATTTTTCCATAATTTCCCAATTTTCATAAATTTAGTTTTAAATTTCAATATTTTGCAAATAATCAACTTCCAAATATTGTAATTTATGTTAACTAATACTTTTGTGCAAATTTCTATCCATAATTTTTCATTAAGTATCAGTTACATCTACAGATGTAAACTCAATGAGATTATGTTCTGTAGTTGAAAAAAGGAAATAAGAGTGTAAAACTAAAATAAATAAATAAAAGTATTCTATGCTAATGGTAATTTGAGATGTTTGAACTGATTTGAAGAATTTATAGAAAAATATAATTTTAGGAGTATTTAGAAGTAATGAAGCCATTTTTTTACATACTAGTTATCAACTAAGGTAAAAATAATGGTATCATGCATTCCAAACTTTATTTTTATGGACAGGGAAAGAAAATTTAGCCATCATACAATGGATTTAGGAAGCCTAATTTAGGATTTCTTCAGCTTTTTTCAAACAGGGATTACTTTTATAAATGGATCAGAATCATGTCTCTTCTGAAAACATTTTTGTAGCATATGTTAATAACAGTTTATTTATATTTTAAAATTATAATCAATAAAAATTCATTTAAGTTCATATTAATATCAAGTAATTAATTAAAAGAAGAAAATTTGTGTTTGAATTAAAAAAAAAACTATTAAAGTTTGGATAAATCTTTGTCATAAAACAAAAAAATTGAATACATGCAGATGACATGATATTACTGAGATGGCAGGCATGCCGATTCTTATACAGTTGTTTCCCATTTTGGTGGTAAAACTGAAGTAGGAAGCTAGATAGAGTAACAAGAAATAAATTTCATGAAAAATGTGCCGTCTATAATTTTTAAACTTTTAAAATTTTCAGCTACAGTGTGGTATACATAGTTAATTAGAATTGGTAGTATCCTAATTAACCCTTTAGATTTTTATTTTTTGTCTTTCTAGAAATCTAGGAGGACCATAGATTAAGAAATGTTGACCTAATTCATTTAATATATTCTTTTACAGAAAAGAATTAATAATTTATATTATTTTAGATATGACATTTCATTTTTTCAGTGCTTACAATCAATCATCTTATTCCTTAAAATTAAATGTGGCTTAATCCTCCCTTTCTGTAATTTCTGTCTGTTATTTTAATAATGCTATTGTATTTTTTGACATATATTGGTGATACTGATTTTCATTCAAATCTTCAGTACATTTCCTCTTGTTTTTATTGAAGAATTCAATGATGCTGACCATTATAATTCATTATTAATTCCCATAATAATTACATAGCTCCAGACCTTCCAATAAAATAAGGAGACTCCAGTTTTTCAGTGCATTTTATGATCTCTGATTAATCTCTAAATTTCCAGTTTTTAATTTACATAACTTTATGTTGCTGTTTTCATATGTAGTTTTAGAAGAATTGTTGACCATTAAGTATCAGAGGAAAAGGGTATACTGTTAAAAAAAATGTAGTTGAAAAGCTCTTTAAAAAAATTAAGAAATCAAATTGGAAAAAAAAAAAAAAAAATGAAGTTGAAACTGAAAATTGTGCGAAATGAAAATTTAATTGAATCTTTTTCCAGTTTTTGATCTCAAATAAACCAGAAGAATGAAGCATGTTTCCGAAACATATTAATTGACTTTTATAAAGCTTTAATTCATTTTCCCCTGATGAGTTCTGAATTTGAGTTTCAGTAAAAGAAGATTAATTTTTATATTTTTATAATTTTGTATATTTTTGCTCTCACATTTTTATTTTTCGAATTTGTTCTATTGTGAAATCATTTTAATTTTGATTTGCTTAGATATTGTGTTAAACTTCTTATACAGGGTTGCAATTATTAATACTGTTGAGGAATTGTCTTGCTTTGATTCGAATTTAATATTGACTTTTGATGCTTTAAAATTATATATATCCTGTGTATATGTATGTATATATAGCCTTTATATATATATATCCGGTGTGTGTGTAAAATCACTCAGCATTGCGTGGTTGGAAACGCTTTCCTGGTACGGTAATGACAACACAAAACACAAGAAAAGGTACCAGGTGTGTCCCGGACTTCCCCAGCAGCTGCCACGATGCATGCAATAAATTCCTTAGTACTGTAGCTTTGTACACCAGTGTCTTGATGTCCCCCCCCCCAGATAAAGTAGTCAGTGCGAGCGAGGTCTGGCGTTCTAGCCAATACGCCAGACCAGCCCTGCTGATCCAATGCTAAGAATACATTGCATTCAGGTGGAGATGCATATCAAGACTGAAATATGTGGGGGCCCCATCCCCATCATGTTGAAAACATAATAAATATGTTTCTCAACCTGTTTTTGTCCTTTCTTTCTTGTCTTTTGTGTCATCACTACTGCTCCAGGAGGTCATTTCCAGCCATGCAATGCTGTGCAATTTTCCATCATCTAGCTATACTCTATTTCTCCTGATAGTCTGCAACCAATTTCTGAAACACCTTGTACATATATGTATTTATAATATAACATTTTATTACAGGAGTTGATATCAACAAATGTTATCTTCTCGAGGTAATGCCCGAGTTACGAGAGGAATTAATGAGCAAGGAATCTTCATATCGTTACTCAAATAAAATACCAGACCATTGGTTGTACAATCTTAAAGCTACATTATCTATCTTGTTCAATTTGGTATGCTTTTGTTCGTTTAGGCATGATGAATTATTCAATATTTTGTTATTCCTGTTGTGGCTAAGTATGGAAGAATGTTTGATCAACAAAGACCTTTATCAACTGATATTTGATTGTATTGATGTCATCTTAGAAAGCTTTTCTGAAGATATTTGGCCTGATACTGTAAGTAAAATAAAGTTTATATTTGCATGTAATTGAATTAATATGTATTTTTTCATATATGTTTTAGAGCAAGTATCTATTAACATTTTTTTAAATTTAAGTCATCTTAGAAGGTTTAGGTAAATCCAAAATACCATAAAGGCCAATAATCTAATGATTATCTGTTGTACCTATGCTTGATCCTTAATTTTATTTTAAATTTCAAATTTTGATCTGTTTGAATATTACTTATTTTATATCAGTTTTGGAATTTTTTTCCAAGTAACAGAACAGTTCCTCTTAGAATATGTTCAATAAAGGTATTATTCTGAAACTAAAATGCTTATTACATTATAAACTACTATAAAATATATGCATTGTGAGTAGGGAATTTTAATTCATTACGTAAAATGTTTAGTGATACTGCTTGTAGTGATCTTAAGAATGTAACCAGTAATTTTTATATCGTAACTGTATAATAATGAGCGTTTGTCATGTTCTCTAAAGACCATCTCTGTAGAACACCAAAATTATTTGTTTGGTTGATTCATTGACTTTTAATGACTGGTTATCTTAAAAGGTTATACTGTACTTGCAAACAGGCTGAAAAACTCCACATAAACTTAATGTAATTTCTAAAGCACTGTCCACAGGAATTTGTTAATAATGTTTTAGATTTTTAAAGTTTTTAAAATTTTGCATTCGGTTTTTTTGTTTCCCTGCTCATTTTCTAAAAAGCACTGTTACTCATGTCTTCACATGTAGTTTAACATCTGCTGAACCTTCTGTAGAGCTTAGAAATATAGAGATCATTTCTGAACTTATACACACTAAGTTTTGTCAAAATACCTGAAGTATCTTTGACAGTGTTTTTCTGTGTTCTTCCCAAGTAAGCTTTCTGTTTCTGAAAATTGGCTATCATATTCTTAAAATATAGAGACAAAGGTAATGAAAAAGGATAGCTAATTTGATATATTTAGGGATGTTTTCTAGTGGTTGGTAAGCAATAATGCCCCATTTATTTCATTTGACCATTGAGAAATGATGCATTGAAATTAAATAGAGAATTCTTACGTGCATTTTAAAGTCTTATCATCGGAAGCAATGACATTTGTAGAAATTTCCTATATATCATATATTATTTTTGGATCATTAAAATTTTAGTAAAAGTTAACTTTGAGATTTTAGTGACTATGCTTTAGTTCCGTTCCTTATTTTATTGTATTAATTTTGTTTTAGAGAGTTATTTCATATTCGGACATAATAAATTTAGCCTTTTGGATGAGACACGAATAGTCATTTGTGGCAAAATTTTGTCTTGTAGCATATAAACTTTTTTTCTGAGACTGCAGAAAAGTTATGATTTTGTTGGCATTTTGTCATGAAATTATATGAAGATGTTTGTGTTGAGAGAAATTACAGCAACCATTTCCATTCTTAAGCAGCTTGATCACATGCCTACACTTTTGTAAATTATAGTGATATATACTTTTCTGGTATTTAATGTAGGAATTTTATGGAATTTTTTTAATTACTATGTAAGGATCCTTCAAAATGTTAACTATCCTGATCAATTACAAGTCCATAAATCTACGTATGGGATAGTTATAAACTTTGAAAGCAACTAAAAACCAGTTTGTGTTATATTTCTTTGTAATGCCTTAATAATTAACACTTGTTTATGCAGAAGCTCAGCGTAATCTGCTGAAATGCAGCAAAGGGAATGTGAATAAGAATGCTCTGTTATGAATATTTCCCATATAGATGTAGAAGTAAAAGAAATGCAGAGCAACTTTTAGAATTAGTAGAATTTCATATTATAAAATGTACTATGAATAATTTGGTTTAAATGAAAAAAGTCAGTAAAAGCTGCTTCTTGGTACTGGCATGTTAAAGTATTTTATTATACTTTGGATTTTTTGAAATAGATGTGTGTACTATTTATAAGAAAATAACATAGAGTAAAATTTTGATGTAACAGATTATAGTAGAACTTCAGAAAAATTGTTTTTCAGGAGGAAGGCCAACATCATATATGTTTGAAGCGGAAATATGCAGGGTATCCAAAATAAAGAGCAATAGTCATAAGCATCATGAATATTGTAGGCAAAAGAGCAAAAATAAAAATCAGATATGTATAATGAGAATACAAATACTAAATTAAGAAATGTGTATGCCAAGTAGTTAGATAGTACTTTTAAGATAATTAGAATCCTTTCTGCTATCATAAGGCATGCTTTCCTTGTAGAATTTCTTTTTGCATATTAATTGCACTTTTTGGCTATTATTTTGATAAAAGCATGCTGTTTTATGACTTTTATTCTAGAAAATTATATTCTTTTACTAATAAGAAATATTTAAAACATTTATTGAAAATATCCCCTTAAGCATCTTTTATAATATAGAAGTGCAGTGAATTAAATAAAAATGCATGTCATAAAGGAAAAATATTTTATAAGAATATGCTCTTACAGCACATTTATTAGACATAAAATTAAAATTACAGTTGTTTCCTGATGGGCAGTTTTTGAAAACAGAAGACCGTGTTTCAATTTCCTAAATAATATGTGAAAAATATGAGAGTTTTTGTAATTTTTTTAATCATGAAACACTTTTTTAGGAGCAAGTCAAAAAGATTTCTATCACGGTTTCAGGTATAGACAGGTTTATGTGGTTCTAGTATTAATAATTTATGTTAAAGTGCTTTCTTTTCTCAACTAAAGACATTCAAAGAAAAGAAATGAATTTATTTTTCCTTTCATAGTTAATATTTTGAAACATGGAGGCTTCTTTTCTGGATGTAATTTTAAAATTTTGTTTTGAATTCATTTGAGTAATTCATTTACTTCACTGAGATGCATTACTACCTTTATGTGATCATGAGATATTTTGTCACTTGGTATATATTAGCATATAATATAAAATAATTTTCTTCTCTTACATTCTTTAACCCATTGAAGAGCTGGTCCTTCAGAAGGAAATGCTTCGAAAATGGCTGTATTGTTGTCTAACAAATCCTCCAAACATTTTTCAGAATTTTAAAGAAATTTCTCGAATTTTGGTGGTTTTCTAAATAATTTCAGTAAGTTTAGCTATTGTGCATTTTCTAGCAATATGGAGTTTTAAATCAAAATTTTATTGACCTGAGAGAATGCATTTCTAAATCAAACAGAAATTTAAGTGAATTTGATGCCTTCTTACGCTAGCCTAGAAAGAACTATTTTTTAGGGTTCAAAGACAGGATTTTCTCGCTTTTCCGCATTTTACAGATTTAATATATGTAATAAAAAATAGAATTCTTTTTGATTCTCACAGTTAAATGAATTGTAACTTTTTTAAAAGTTTTCTAATATTTCTGCTCGTACGTGACTACGTTTGATATTGTGGAACTCCAACTTACAAATTACATCATGTCATTACAGTATCTTAGGGAACAATTGAAATTAGGGTACTGAAATGACATAGAATATAAAAATGGTTATTGTCAATTTAAATAAATTTCTGTTTGCCAATTTTCATTTAAAATTTTCCATTATTTGCAGCCTTACAGTTTTATTTAACCTTGAGATTACCATATACAAATTGTATTAGGACCTCAACATAATTTCGTGGAATAATAGAAGTGATAATATGAAAAGGCTAGTGGCTTAAATACCAAAAGCCAAACATTTGTAATTAAATAAATAAACAAAAATAAATACTGAATACCTGTCCCTTTGTTTTATTTTTTAATCATATAATCGACAGTATTTTATTATCTAGAAATTATTTTTTTACTTTAAAGTATTTAACTAAAACTATGTAACTTTTTCAGTATAGTTTATATGAACGAGATAATAAAAATGTTTTACTAATTCAGTTCACTGTTATTAATGAAATATGCCACCAAATTTCTATTTCTTTTTCCAGAATTATATAATAAAATGTTTTGATTGAGTATGATTAAATGAGTTTTTCAATTGTACTCTTTTATATATCCTAATATAACTTAGCAGAATATTGTTTACCTTTAGCAAATTATATCTAGAGGAATTAAGTTTTGATGAAGAAAGATAAATAACGAGATCAGTGGTTTCATTTTATGCTTTATGCATCTATTTATATGAAAATGGAATCTAGCTATTGAATTTATGATTTGTATATGAATTGAAAAATAACATATTGATAAAACTTTTCAGGACATTACAAACTGAGATGTTGTAATAAGGATATTAGTATGTTAATCATACTTCTGTAGAGAAAAAGGCAATTTATAATTACTAGGCTACGTATCCGAATGTTTTTATTATGATATAATTTTACCAAGCTACGGCTCTTTGGTTAGTTAAATATGGCTTAGGTCGAGCAAATGCCAGTTTCATTTATGAAATATTATTCCAAATGAAGCAGAAATCGTGAAACAATACAAACTTAAAACAGTTTTACATTTTAAGTTATATGTATGTACATTTTAAACACTTTCAAAGAGCGTCATTTCTGCACTTTCTGGCCGTGGCGGTACTGTTTTTGGAATAGATTAAAGACTTTATAAAATACAAACACATTAGCACCAGGCAATGTTAATGATATAGATAAAAATATTATTGAATGGCTCTACGTCTATGTTTAGTTGTAATTGCAAGAAGCAAAACATATGAGATGATTCAATCCGCATTTAAAGAATTAAATGAGAATATCATATGTGCATTTATATATGTATGCTGTGTCGGATAATAGTTGCAATGGAAAACTAAACTGTTTGTTTATGCAATAGCCTTACTAAAAGCTGACAATATATTTTAAATAAATTTTGAATACTGAATACAGCTTCTCCGCAGGGTGTTCTTTCCCATCTTATTTGTCTTGGAGGTCAAATTAAAGGAATATCGTTTAGTCCCTTTTTCCAGATAACTGTCTTATTTACACGAATAAAGAACCTTTCACATCCTTGTAAAGAAATACGTTTTTTATTACTTAATTTACCACTATTAAAATTATTCAAATAGAATCTAAATTTTATTTCTTTTCGTGAACCCTCCCCCCCGAAAAAAAAAAAAAAAGAAAGAAAAATTGTTCGGTTTTCTATCTGGTAAAAATAATGCCCAGATACAATATACGAAAAAAGAAACAATATTTTGATTAAAATGCAATTATGGCATGCGCAAGAAGCGCAACAATCTATATAAATATGTTTCCAAAAAATTCTGCTAAAATATTAAAAGTTGTATTTGTAGAGCATTTATTAGTTAGATTTGTAACTGCCTACTCAACGTTTAGTTTTCATAACCTATAAGGTATTTTTTCCTGCCTTCTTAGCATACCTTCGTGGTGTAATGGTCAGCACGCTCGGCGTTTATTCGAGAGGTCCGTGGTTCGAGTCCCGGCGAAGGCATTGCTCCTATTTCACATGTCCTGCTTCAAAATAACCTAATGTTTCTATAGTGGCACCCAAACCAAAAAAGGTGGTGGATGATGATTCTCCGCCGCAGGGATTTGGCGATTCGGTCCCCTAATCCCCAGTCGCCCTTTAAAAGGGGGAGTATATACGGTATTTTCTCCTGCCCTTTTAGCATGCCTTCGTGGTGTCAGTACGCTCGGCGGGCATTCGAGAAGTCCGTGGTTCGTGTCCCGGGTAGGGCATTGCTCATTTTTCATGTCTTTTGCTGTTCAAAAAATGTAATGTCTCTACAAACCTTCCATTCATCAGAATAGTAACAAAGTCATGAAGCGTAGGAGGAAAAAAGGAATTTTAAAGAAAAGATTATTTTTACAAAATGACTCAAAATTTCTTGAGACAATATAAGTAGTTATATAACTCAAATAACTAAATATTTCACCTCTTAATTTTACCAGTATTTCTGCATAGAAATAAAACATAATTAAATATCGATAATGAGTATCATAGAGTGGAGCACATCGAATGAGCTTCACAATGTTTTCAAAAGCAGCCACTTTGACAAATGACCAGAACTGTCGGGAATCGCTTATGAATGTCACTTACACGTTTCATAATGCCAAGAATGTTATAAAAATAAAGGTTATGCTATATCAACAACTTACCGATCTTTCCAAAGTGCTTAGAAATAGAGCTGTTCCAAAAATTGTATTCAGTTCATTCACAGTGTTTAATCAAAAGCTCGTCGTCGATTTTTGAGCTACTTCTCGATAAGCTATTGAATTCAAATTTTTTCCGTAAACACACCGTTTACGGATGATAATAATTCGATTTAGAGTTTTTAAAATTTAATGTTGAAGAAATTTTTTGCGCATATTTCCATTTAAAGAATAAACTAAAAATCTCAAAATTTTTAAGTTTGCATCATTTTACAGAGCGTAAAATAGCTTTTGAAATAAAATTTGCAACTTAATTTCTGATTTTGGGGCGAATTTTGTTTTAAATTTATATATCTTTTGATTATTTGAGGTAAAAGGATACTTGGATGTAAAAGACTGAACCAAAAGTAATAATAATAATAATAATTTGTCACATAGATTAATGGTAATAAGAGATTACTTAATAGCCTCTTTGCTAAATTCCTGTACAGTTTTATAAGAAGAATCATAGGTTCTTAAATTACGAAATCAAATAATTGAATCGCATTGTTAGACGTATAAGATTTATAAATTTATCAAGAGAGCCTCACGTTTTTATTATTCGTGATATAAGTTTGTGGAAGAATTTTTTAAAGAGAATTATTTAATCTCATATTCCCATTAAATTACATGATACATTATTTTTAGAACAGAGGGCGTTAGCCGAAAAGGTCTATTAACTTCATTTTGGCATTTTGCGTTGAAAACTATGTCAGTTCACTTTTCAAACTGTTGCTACCAAATATTACAGCCCTGTATTATATTTAAAGAAATTAAATAATGGTTTTGGTTTATTAGATTACGGCAAAGCACTCGAGGGCTATCTGCCTTGAAATTAAATAATGAATAATCTGCATAAATATATGTATGTTTCTCGCATTGTGATAAAACAACGGTACCTAGACCCATCCAATTTTGAATAACATACATTTCCACCCGAATATGGGCATCTCAAAGCCGAGATTTGGAATTTGTTTTATTATTTGTTTCATATTTCGTAAAACTTCAATGAATTTTTTATTAAGAAACTCAACGATTTCAAAGCGAGCAAAGGCAACACTGTATGAAAATAATAATATAAAAAAATTATCTCCAATGGGCGAGACTGTGTATCGGAAATTCTAAAGATATGCTTATTTAAAATTTATTTTGCAGTATTGCTGTTTAACTGAAGTTTTATAGTTTAAGTGTGAAGAACATGATATTTAAAAATAAAGGTAACCCACAAACCGTTAAAAAAACGCCCCTTTAGGCGTATTGTAAAATCTGAAAGATTTGCATTTTCAGATTCTTATGTTTGCATTTATTATTTTTATTTTTCTCGTTTTAATTCATTAATGCTCTTATAGATAAACGTTCATTTTGTAAAAAATTCTATTTTTTACTCAATAACTGCTCTAAAACGGAAATTCTTAAATCCTTTTATATATGCATCCACTTCGTAACTGGTAACAAATTTGTTTCTTTAGAGTCAGTGTAAGGCCTTTATCCTAAAACATCAAGAAGATTTCTCCCCATGCTAATGACAGCCATTACCCATTGTCGTCAGGATTGCATGGTCCCTTGTCCCCTGAGGCATTGGGGATTGGAAGACATACAAAAATATGGGCTAGTCGTTTTTGGCGCGTTTTTTGATAATACAAAAACACGGGACTGTCCGTTTTCGAAGGTACATTTAAACTAACAATAATTCGTAACGAACCGTTAAGAGACCTGTATAAAAGAACGAGAAAATCCGGGTCAAACCGTTAAAGGGTTAATGATTTTAAAATCATCTTTATGGATGAGAACAGAAACTGAAACAAGTAACTGTGCAAATTTAGCTAATAAATTATGGTTAGATGCAGGTCTTCATCAGCAGATTTGTACATTTCCACCCGAATATGGGCAAGTTTTGCTACTCAGAGGATTAACTGATCTTTAATACTTCACTCAGACAGAAATTTGAAAAAAAAAAAAACCTTACCTCTAAAGTACTTTTCTTGGGGGGGAAAGCATGGATATTTCTTTGGTATGTTTAATAAATTATATAGTCTGTATTTTTCTGTATACATAAAATATTAAAAAAGCTTTAGAATTTGTAATATACGAACTGATCTACTAACTTTCTAATATACGAACTGAGTAAGTGTATTTTAGAAACTGAACAAATATCAGTATTTTTTTCCTTATGTTATAATTCTGTTCAACATTGAAATTACAACTGTAAGAAGGCAAATGCTATATTATGCAAATTAGGAGGACAACTGCTAATTTATTTTCTTTGCATTTAAAAGTCTTTGATAATTAATAACTTTTCTAGGTATTTATATACTATCCCATTGACTGTGAAAGTTGGCTATCATCAAATTATGGAAGTTAGCGGAGATCCCGCCAAAATTGTGCCAGCCGTTCATGCGAAATTCTGAGAGAACTGATGACTCTTTTTTTTTTAATTAATATATAATGAACCTGCTCCATAATTGTGTTTCATGAAAAGGCTTATGTTGATTTCTGCTTTTTTTTTAAGGCCCTTCGATTTTACTGAAAACTTTATTTAGAACTGATAAGTACAAATTTTCTTCGGATAATTGTCCTAAAGTGTCCAGGTTTGTCAGCCATATTCAGCTCACCATATCGTAGTATAAATAGACACTTTTCTTGGTGGTAGGATTACCTAACTTCTGTTAATCTGTTGCTTGCTGTTTTGCAAAAGGCAGGTGATAGTTTCACGGACGATGTAATAATATGTAAGAGCTCTTTTCTTCTATACTCAGAATTTTGTGAATCTAAAAGTTTAAGAAAATTACATAATAAAATGAAATAGGACTAAATCCATAAAATTATGGCTATCTTATTGAATTTTAATACATTTTGTATCAGAATCCTATTATAAATCATTCAGTAATCAGAATTATACATTATAAGTAATGCAAATCATGCATTATAAATCAGTTTGGATTTTTCTTAAAATTGCATTGCCGCACCACATGAAACCCTCCTGCTGTTCATGCAAAGATTTTCCGATTTTTCGTATTTCAAGGTTAGCAGCTATGATATAAACTCAAAGCAAGATCAATGCAATTCATGCAGTTATTTTATACTCTGAAGAGATTCATTTTTATATTCAGTCAGTATTAATTTATATTCTGAGGATTTCATTTGTTAGATTTTAGATAATTACCAGAAATTTTTAATTATTATATTAAAATAATAATAGATTATTACTTTTACTGTGTGGTAGATCATTTTTGATTTGGACAAAATCCTAATTTTACATCTTGAGTCATTTGGTTTATATTAATTGGATAATGGGTGTGTCATGTTTTATGAAATTTATGAAGTAAGATTATTTTGTTTGTAGCCTTCAAAATAAATATCTCTGTTTTATGTTTTTTTAATTATTTATTTCCTATGTGCTGCAACATAAGTGTGTTCTTATAGATTTTTTTAATTGTAATCAAACAGTATACACATTAGGGAACTTGGTAACTTCATCAAGATGCATTCATGCGCATTTGTCATGTTTAGTTCAAATGAATTTAATTTTTTAAAACATATTGCTTAATTTGACGTTTTAAACTTTTCCTTGAGGAAATTACTTTTTTAATTTTGGGCTTCTTTCTTTATAGTGCCTTCACCTTACGGATGCTTTATTAGAAATAGAGAATCCAAATTGGAGTTCCAAGTGGAGCTGTATATATTTTATGGTTTCAAGAATTCCTTTTGCTACTGAAAGAGGAATTAGTATTCGTAGATGTATTTGTTTTAAAGCATTAAAAAAACTCTGTTCAGAACAAAGTTCTGTTTTGGAAGAAGCCAAAGAATTTAACGTAAGAACATTTTACCAGAAGATACTTTTATTTCTATGGTTGTGAAATTATATAAATCACTGTAATTTTGTGCTTTTATGGGATGATCAGAATTTTATTGTTGCTAAGGCAAAATATAAGTAAAAAAAGAAAAACGTTCTTCAAAACATAAGGGGGGGGAGTGTTGGGGAACTTAAAAATGTCTTGGTTTTATTTAATAAAATAAAATAAATCTAGCAAAATATTTTTATAACTTTTAATGTAATCAATAAATTACTTGGTCGAATTTTCTCTGTTTTTCTCTGTCATAACTATGATATTTAGCTTCTATTAACTTCAATTCGAAAAGACTAAACAGCATTATTTAAGTATAGCAAATTTTTATTTTAAAGTCTTAAACCCAAATTCATTAAATTTTAAATTTAAATTTCTGTCTTTGTTATTATCAAAGCCAGAATTTATTGACATTGCATTTTTTTCCATTTTCTAAATTTTAAGAGATTTTTGGGGCCTTTTTAAGGCATTTCAGAGCATTTTGAGGCATTTAGTAATCAGACTGAAAATTAAATTTTTTCTTGAAATGGCACTGTCTCAGAAATAGCACTCTCCTATGAACTCTTATGAGATGCCTAGTAAAAATTACTAGGCAGATATATCCTATTTACAGAAAACTGATTATATAATCTGTTAGTCATATCTGTGCTGACAGGTCTTATCCACTAGGTATGCGTGTCACTTTCAAGATTATTTTCATATTGCCATTTCTTAGCTTTTTAAGACTTTTTATGTGTGTTCAGTTCAATAGGATGACATGCAAAGGAGAAAATGCTATTCCACAGGCACAATTCTTGAAATTACACTCATGGCTGTGTGCAGTATGTTTTTCCCGCCTTGATAAGGTCCCCTTTATTTATTTATTTTTGGGGAGCTCAGCTGCTTTAATCTATCCACAGTACATTCTTGAATGATGACCTTCATCTTTCCATTTTTAATAAAGGACTATTGAACTAGGAATGCCATGAACATAAAAGACCCTACTTTTTGCAAACAATTCTTCACCTCAAAAGTTCCATCAAAATGAGCCATGTATTTTAAAAAATTTAGAATCTTCTTTTTGTGTATTTTATTCAAACCTTCACAAGGAGCTGGGATAGATGATGTACCTTGACATATCGGGTTTAAAACAGAGCTTCCTATTTTTTAAACAAAGCTCTCTAAGGTTTCTTGTCAGGGTTAATACACATATCTGTAATTTTTTTTTTTTTTTTTTTTTTATTTTTTCGTTAATTTATACAATTATGAGCTTGAATAAAAAATGAATTTATGTTCACTAGATTTGTTTCTTTCCCACATTTATACTAACAATTAAAAGTTTAAGATTCAATATTCAGACAGCTTTGTAAAAAGTACTAATTTTATATCAGTCATAAAAGGATAATGCAAAATCAGGCAAAGGAAAAGTTAGAAGCAAAACAAATTTGACTTATTTGTAAAGCTTATTTATTAAACAAAAGGTAAAGAGCAAAAACAGATGCTATATGTTTGATATTATTAAAAAAATTAGCGATTTTTTTTTCTCCCTGGAGCAAATTACAAAAAAAAAAAAAAAAAAAAAAAAAAAAAAAAAAACTTATTTACAAAAAAACCAATATTACATGGTTGGTTTGATTGTTAATACATTGTATGTCTCCCAGACGATGCAATACAGTCCGTACAACGCCTAGGCATCTGAGTATCAAATTATCGATCTGATCTTGGGGGATATTACATCACTCAAAAAGCAATGCACTCCGAAGTTCCGGTAGACATGTAGAAGGAGGTTGACGGGCTGCAACTCGTCGGCCAAGCATGTCCCACACGTGTTCTACTGGTTCAAGTCTGGTGAGAATGCTGGCCAGTCTGTACGGGTGATATCCTCCGATTGAAGGCATTCGCTTACGATATTTGCACGGTGAGGACTGGCGTTGTCATCCATAAACAAATTGTGTGCCCATGGCACCCCGAAACAAATGTACATGTTGTTCCAGAATGACGTCCCGATAGATATGGCTTGTCATGATTCCAATTTGAACATGAAGGTCAGTTCTGGAACCCAGAATAATTCCACCCCAAACGAGCACTCCTACACCACCGTAACGGTGTCGTTCAATGATGCTTTCTTGGTGGTAACGAATACCTGGAGCTCTCCATATGAAAGTCCGGCGAGAATCAGACTGCAAGCTAAACCTGGACTCGTCGGAAAACATCACACAAGCCCACTGTTGCGGTGTCCACAGTGCATGCTCTCTACTCCAGGCTAACCGCAGGCGACAGTGAGTTGCAGTAAGTGGAACGCATCTGACAGGTCTACGAACATATAAACCAATCTGCCCTAAGCGTCTGTACACGGTCTGCCTTGAAATTGTCGTACCAGTGGCTGAAGAGAGCTGACGAGGCAGGTCTCAGGCTGTGCTCCACCTGTTTGTTTTGGCAGTAACTGCCAAATACCGGTCCTTATTCGGCGCTGTAACTCTGGGGCGACCTGTGCTGTAACGTCTCTACTCACATTACCATCATCTGGGAATCGTTGCCAAAGCTGGAGATGACACTCTGGGCAATTCCAAGTTTGTCTGATACTTCAGTTGGGTACCACATTCCAGACGGCCGATAATTCACGTAAAAATCAAAATGCGTCCTTTCGGTTATTGCCTGAAATGCTTATAAGCCTGCGAACATTTTACTTTTGCCTGTATTCGTTATATATCACACTTTCTTACATTCTCGTCATTGTGAAGTACCATCGGTGTCATCTGGTTACTTCCTAAAATTTGCATATGATTCTTAAAGATGTGTGTAGTGATTTCACAGGTGATATATTTATTTTAAGGTTCGATTTCCGCGCGACTCCGAATTATCCTTAATTTAAGGACATGAGTGTATATAAGCCCAGATATCCTACTGTTCAAAAGTGCTAACAAAATCAGATATATAATTTTATTTATTCCTTGTCTTTTGAAATGGAAAAAGGAAAGTCAAGGCATTACTAGCTTTCAGCAATGCCGATTAATTTATCAGGACTTACCAAATCTTTTCAGGTAGATATTTTTGGCTGAGAAGTAAACAGAAAAGCATTATTTGCAATCTAGAAAAGAAAGTAATTCTGTATTTTGAAAATGCCCCAAATAAAAGCTTCTAAACCTTCCATTTATGCAAAACTGGTACTGAACTTGAAGAAAATGTGTTTTTGACAGAATTTTTTTTGTAAACTATATAAAAAGAGAAGTTGCAGCAAGGGGGGGGGGAAATACCATTATGGCACATATGGGGCGAGATTAATTTAAATGAAATAACAAAGCTGAACTAATACAGAAAAAGAGCCAAGCATCTCAACATTTGCTTGTGCAAAGTTTTTTAGCATCACATTCAAGGAAACCATTTTATAAAGAATTATGTAAAGCTTTAGTGTCCACAAATATTCTTCTGCCGTGGAAAATGCTGGCAAATAAGATTGAATGTAGGAAGTTAGTTTGGATCTTATATTTATAAACATGCATGCAATTTATTTTCTTTTCGTTCAATTAGTTAAAGGGTAACAAATCTTGTCAAAGATGTAATGAATACATTTATGACGCATTGAAACAGATCTGTGTTTGAACTTTATGTTACTAAAATAGAAGAAAATTTTTCGTGTCCAGATTGGCAAATAGAATCTGTGTTGTCCAAACTAATGCTAAAATTCCCACTGATGGTTAATATTAATATATTGTTTTTATTATATGTTTGCTCCTTTCATCTTTGAAACTTTTGGATGAATTCCATTTATTCTTTCTAATAAACATAATAATATGGTTCTGAATAATAATAATAAAGAGGTACATATGCTCTATTAATTTTGTTTTTGGAAGTCCATTTAGTCAGTTCTTGGATGTCGTATTTTGATTTGAAGTGGAAAGACATTTTCTACAGTTATTCTAATTGAAAATATGTCTTTATCTATAGTTAACCCATATTTTAACATTGTTCTATATACAGGACAGTACATATTTGATGGCTGTACAAAAAAATAAATAATGTTTAAAGGATTTCTTTCACATTGTATTATTACTTGAAAGCTGCTTGTTATATTAGCTATTTTCTTTTAAATTTTTGCTTTTACAAATCTATTTAAAAAAAAAACATACAAAAAGGACTAATTTTAATTTTTTTCCTACTTTATTTTTTGAATTCGTTATAAAAGAGGGAGGGGGGAAAGAGGCAAAATAAAAAATGTTGATTTATTTTAAATAAAATAGGTCTCCATTAATGTGAATGACAAATAATACAAAAGAAAAATATATTATAGATCTTTATTGTGCTTTCTTTTTTAGAGCCTCCTATACATAGGACAATGGTAAAATCTGCTATTATATGATGCTAAAACATAACACACCTTTGGAGTGAAATGGTTACGTTTGTTTCATCCCCTCACTGTAAATTGTGGCGATCAACTATTTCTTGTCCCGTGTCCCCTTTTCTAAAAAGTTAAATTTATCATCTGAAAGCCGTTTCTCACATTTTTTTTTATATGAAAGAAATTTACTTTTGTAAATGCTTATTTTGTAAGGTATATTTTATTTTATGCATCCAAAATGAGTCAAAAATTTCGAACAGCTAAGAAGCTTTGGAATATTTTATGACATTAGACGATGAAGATATTGAGCTGGAAATGTTAATAATACCACCTGATCCAGATGCAGTCAGTGACAATGAAGAAATAGACAGTGACTGCACTAAGACTTGACACAGCCAAGCTATTTGTGACGAAAAACACTGCAGGAACTATACCGTAAAACAGCAGGAACTGTGGAAATTTTAGTAGGAAATGAAGATAAAATATGTGTGCCAAAACCTGATTGGAAATATTGCATTCCTAAATATTCATGTGCTTCGGAAATATTTTCTGAAGATTCCAGCCAATCTATAACTGATTTTGTTTCTGTAAAATCTTCTACAGAACTCAGAATGTATCGCTGAAAAAATGATAGACAAAGCTATTATTGAGA